CCGTGTGTGAATGTGCATGGATACCTGTATTTGCCTTAGTACTTTAGGAACAACTTGTGCAGAAGGTGAACGGCTCAGTACAACTTTAGGTCCTCATACATTTTGTTGTTCTCTTGTATAATTCTAGTAAAAGTATATCATGATATCTATGGACTTTGTTCCGTCTTTCATTTTGTACAAAATGGCATGTGGCACTTGAACCCAATGTATGTAAAACATGCTTTATGCTCATTGCCCAGACTCGGATTATGACGTGGGTCCCAGGAAGGAAAAAAAAACCTAACAATAACCCCCCCCCCTAAAAAGAGATATAAAACAAACAAACAAACAAAATAAATATAAAAAAAACAAAAACAAAACCAACAACAAAAACATTCTCATGGCTGTCAGATGTTAGATGAGTATACAATAAGGTAGTCAGACATCACCTTCGACATTACGCAAAGATTTAAAAATGATTAAAAGTGTTTACCCCCCCCCCCCCCAAAAAAAAAAGGAATAAATAAAAATCGACACGATTTAGATTATTTTGGAGGTGGACTTCCAACCCTGCTTATCAGGACCAACACGGGCTGAGAGTCAAAAAACGTTCCAGTAGAAAGACAGGGCTCTTTGATAAAAAATTAATTAGAATCTAGTTTCAAACGACATCGAACTCTGGAGTTGTTCGTGCGACGACAAAGCGTCTACCCGCTCCACCACAGACGCCCGTGGACAGGAAGAACAAAGTAGAATGTCTTCCATAAACAAAATAAGAAACGGATTTGCTGGAGTAGATAGAAGCACATCAACACATTCACGGCCATTCAGCGAAAAAGGGGGGGGGGGGCAAAGTAAGAAAAATGGGGAAATTGTATAAATGTGACACCTGCTCTATCAACTCTATAAGGCTATTTATGAGGCGGGATCTCCGAATTAAACGCCCGTCTTCGAAAGGACCGAGCTAAATGGGCATTCGTGTAAAGTGCCTTTCCCAAGGACACAACGTCTGACCGAGCTCATTCTCGAACCCCCGAACCCGCAATCTCAAGATTACGGGTCCGGCAGCCTAACCACTAGGCTACCGACGCTTCGAAAAGTAAGACAGAAATACAGAAACAGTAGAGAGATTGAAAAAGTGTAGTACATAGCAGTAGCACCCTCCAACCACCCACGAAGAGGAGGAGTCCAGCGATGAGGCGTTCATCAGCTGTAACAATCCACGAAGATGGCGGCCACGGAAAGACAACAGAACAGGAAAATGTCAACATGCAAACTTATTGGAGGAAGAGGCTCTCCGAAATACGCTTGGAACTGTCCTTTACGGCTACTCAGCGTCGAGGAGAAAAGTGGTTGTCGTAGAAATATGGACATCGTGGGCAATGTCATTATACTATAGATAGAGATGTCAAAGGGTTGGGGATGGGGAAATGGGAGGTCGTCGTTTGTAAAGGTTATTGTATTAAACAGGTGGCAGTTAGAGAACGT